AAAGAGAGAGAGAGAGAGAGAGAGAGAGAGAGAGAGAGAGAGAGAGAGAGAGAGGGAGTTTTGATGAGGGGCAGGACAGGAGGTAGGGGACAATTGGAAGTTGAAATGGATAGATTAGCTCAGTTTCTTTTTGATTCCTTGGTGGGTTTAAATTCCTTTGATTAGAGGAGCAGAAGTGAAAACTGACCTGTGAGAAAATAGGTCAAGGGGCCAAGAGCAGCAGCTACCAGAACTTTTCAGGTCAGACTGTGGATCCCCATCTTGGGAGCCCAGGTGACAATGTGTAACAGAGATGAGGAAGTTTATATTTTCTACACTTCTCTCAAAAATTATTTTGTTGCTCAAATTATCCTAGAGGTAAGTCACTCAAAGCTGCTTTGTTGGCTCCGATGTCCCTCTGACATTGCTGTCATTATTGTGGATCTTTAAAAACAATTTCTTGAGCATATCCTTTTTGCTTAGAACTCTAAGGTGCTTCAGAATAATGTTGTGTATTTCATTTCCCAGTCCCCAAATCTGTCCCTCTAGCAGCACACACATTGAAGGCTTGGCATGCAACCTAGAGGCCGAGCTGGTGTCTGGTCTCAGCTCTTCCCTTCTGTCTCCTTGCTCCGTCTACAGCCAGCCTTGTGGATATTTTTGGGATGTGCTTGCTTCTACTTGAAGACCTTTGCCCTTGCCACTCTTCTGACTGGGGGATTTGCCCTCAGGTGCCATTAGCTTTTTCCTCACTTCCTTCAAGTCTGTTCTCAAATGTTATCTTATTAGCAAGTTCTTCTACTGTTGTGCTCTACAATCCCCCGGTTCCTTTCGCTTCGTCTTGAACTCTCAGATTGCCGTCTGACATGTTATATATTTTTGTGTGGTCTCTATCTCCATGGTAGAATACAGATGACGTCAAAGCAGGATTTCTGTTTTCTCTGTTAATTTCTATATGCCTGATATCTAGAAAAATTCGTGGCCCGTAGAAAGTCCTCAATAAATATTAGTTGATTAGTATTGTTGTTGTTGGGCACAGACATGTGGCTTATCCCACGTAACCTTCCTAAAAATAACTCCTGTTATCTCATTCCCTGTTTAAAACACTTCAGGTATTTTTCCTTTGCTGTTAGAATAATTTCCAATCTCATTAATATGGCCTGTAAGAGCTTCTCAACCTGTCCTTATTAATATTTCCAATCACTTCACTTATTTCTCTGCTTTCTTGCCACATTGAATCACTTGCAATACCTACCGAACCCATGGCCCCTGCTGCCTTCTGGGTTTTGTACATAGCCACTCCTCTTCTGAAGATGCTTCCACCCTTCTGCTCTTTTAGGGTCCAACTTGAAACCTCAGTCCTTTGGGGAAGACTTTTGTACCCCCAAGGTTGGGACAGTCTATTACCCAATATTCATCTCAACATCACAGCACACTGGTCATGGTGTATGTACGCCGATGGCCTAGTTTATTATAACTTAGAACAAGGCTGTCTTTGTTAGCTCAGGCAGCCACAGCGAAATAACAGTGGAGATTTGTTCTTCACACTCCTGGAGGTTGGAGGTCTTAGATCAGCTTGATTAGGGTCTGGTGCGGGTTCTCTTTTTTTCCTTGTAGATGTCTGCCTTCTCCACACGTGGCAGTTCCTTAGTGTGTGGGTATGGAGTAAGGAAGGCAGGAAGGAAGGACGGAGGGATGGAGTGAGAGAAGTCGAGAGAGATTTTCCTATCATAAGACAACCAGTCTTGGTGGATTAAGACCCCAGCCTTATGATTTCATTTAATTTTAATAACCTCCTAAAGTCCCTATTTCCAAATGCAGTTACTTTGCCAGTAAGGGCTTTGTTATGGACACAGCAAAAATCCTACGTTGAATCCAATTAGTTAAACATCAAATATCCATCAGATAGGACTAATGTCAGTATTTCTAACAAAGGCTTGGAGAATGAAAAGAGAAAGAAAGGATGAAGCTGAATTATAGGGAAGGAGGTTGTCTGGTTCCATCTACTCACTGAAATGCTAGGGTCTTTTGTTTCCATTAAGTTCGTTGGCACATTTTAAATATACATAATGATCACACTCATGGGAATTTGTGCCACCTATAGAAATGACCCCTGAAAGTATAGCCTTTCATGGGAATTTGTCCCTACACATCATATTCCTTAATTCCTCTTTTTTTCCTATTCCCCAGCCTCCCTTCAACTTCTCTTCCCCTCCTTATTTACAAAAGATTTATTTCCACTTTTTCCATGTTTTTTAAAAAAAATTTTCCCTTCCTTCCTCCTCCCCACAATTCCCCTTCCCATTTGAGTATTTTCTTCCTGCTTCATAATATCTGTAGGCATTTGGGTCCTTATTTACACTTTCAGTTTCTCACATCAGAGAAACAGCGTGGTATTCACACGTGTGTATTCAGTTTATTTTACTTACGTGTGTGCTGTCAAGGTGTACCCATTTACCTAGAAATGTCTCCAGTTTTTCCCTTTGCTGGCTGAGTAGTTTCCATTGTATAAAAAGACCCACATCTTTGTCCTTTTTTTGGTTGATGGACATTTGGGCTGTTTCCAAGATTTAGCTCATACTAGGCCCTTACAGGAACTCTGTGCCAAGGTTACCTCTGAGGCTAATGCAGGAGGTGATAGCTGTGGGCACCTTTGGCCTGTTTCAGACACCGTTTGACCTTGGGGAGGTGAGTCTAGCATAGCGGCGTTGCAGGATGCCATCCACTGAACAGCACAACACCCCACGTGGGAGATGTGTCTGGGCCAAGGTCCAGCTCTCGGACTGAAGCAACCTGGGCTCAGAGCTGCGTAGTAAAATTTAAAAAAAGGTGTTTGGCAGAGTGATGGAGAATCTGAAATTCTTGCATCAGACACTTTGTCTCATGGGCACTTGTTCTGCTAATGGGAAATCTGAGCGGAAGCTGATCCAGAACGGGCCCAGGGGACTGGGAATCTGGCAGCATAGGAGCCTCATGATGGCCAGACCACTGCATTTCAGGATTGGAAACCTCGCTTAACTCTTCATGATTATTCCTACAGTGCCATGTGCCTCTCTCTCAGAGTGATGGCCTCCTGGAGTTTCTAGAGTAACCAACAAAATGCAGAGAAATAGATATTTCATAGTAGCTGGCAATTTCATTGTTAACAGAATGTCAAGAGCCTCCAAGGGAGAGAGCAGTGTGTGATTTCTGCCTTTGGACCCAGATTTTTAGAGATCACAGGAGTCTCTTCATCCCAGGAGGAGTCCTGTTCTCTAATAAGAAGGAAGACTTTTGAAGGTGGCACTTATGAAAGCTAAGGCAAATTGTACCTCCAGACTTCTATCAACCCAGGCCTTCTACAGCCAGGTCCTGTGTCAGACTTCAGAATATCCAAACCGCCCACCTTTTGCAAACCACAGGGGGATAAGGCGAGGAGTCCGAGGGACGCGTGGGCTTAGGCTCTTTAACCTCAACTTCCCTACCCAGAACGAACGTAAGAGTCTGTTTCTTATTGCTGCAGAAATGAAGCATTTCAACCGCAATACAGTAATTATCCAGAGGAAAGACGCTGTTCCTATCACACGTTCATCTCCCACGCGGAAGTGCACACACCACGAAGGTAAGAGAGGACCTCATTTGTCCCTCAGTGACCACACAGTCCGTGGCGGCGCCTAACACGGCGAGTGACTGTGAAGTGAGCTGGGAAAGGAACAGGACGTCGCGCTTGTGTGACCATCTCAGGTCGCCCCGGTCACACAGCTATCTAATGAAGATTGGAGATTTTGGAGTGTCTCTTCGGAGACACTGTCAAGCATTATAAACATTTTATGTTAATCAAGTGAATGTAACCAAAAATTTCAGTACAGCATATTTCTGTCTTTTCTCTTTTTGTGTTGGGGATAGAATGTGGATCCAATTTACCACGGAACTCTAGCCTCGGCGTTTTTAAAAATGTTCATTTTGAGACAAGGTCTTCCTAAGTGGCTCATGCTGGCTTTGAATTTATGATCTCCCCACAGGTGTGCGCCACCGTGCCTGCCCATATTCTTTTTAACATACCTCTAGCGCATGTACCAGTAGTCCTACATATACTACGAGTTTTTGATGATGCTTGTTAATCTTAGCAATTCTGTAATTGTTTCAACATGCATGTGTACAAGTGTCAGCTAATGTGCTTGGAAAATACAGAAGCTGGGGCTCCACAGCTAGAGGTTTTGATTGAGTAGGCATCTTAGTCACTTTTTCATCACTGTGACAAATACCTTCTGCCCACAACTTAAAGGAGGAAAGGTTTATTTTGGCTCATGGTTTCCATGCATGGTCAGCCAGCTCCAAGGCAGAAATAGCACAGTAGAAGGACACAGTGGAGAAACAGGTGCTCAACCAGAAAGCAGAAAGGAAGCCAGGAATCTGAGAGAGAGAGAGAGAGAGAGAGAGAGGAGCCAGAAACAAGAATACTGTTCACACCCACCTCCCACCAGGCCCCACCTGACACCTAGTCAGCTACAGTGCCCCCCCATCCAATCACCTTTCAAACACATGTGACATTTGGGGAACATTTTAGATTTAAACCACAACAGGAGATTTGAAGTGGAGCCCAGGAATTTGCGTCTAAAAAAGCACTCAAGTATTTCTGCTGTAGGAGGGTCTTGGATTAACTTTCAAGAAATACTACCAGGTTCACTGCCTGATGAGTAGAATTATGCATGGGGGGGAAAATCTAGTTCTATCAGTTAGTGTTTAGGGAGGACAGCACAGCCCCTGAGATATTTGTGGGAACAAAAAGTTTGCTCATGGAAGTCTAAATTTAACAGCATGGGGTGAGAGGAACTGAGGAATTGGAAGCGTGGAAGTGATAGAGCTTGAAAAATGGTCACGAAATGGGATTTACCCAAAGCCCTGGCACAGGTGGGTGGGCCACAGCTTGCAAGAAATCCCTACAACCTGTGCGTGCCTGGCTGCCAGAGTGGAAGCACAAAGGCATCTGATGGGAATTCTGGGGAGGCAGCGGACACTGGAGTGGGCCTTGGGGCTGCTGTTGTTTTCTAGGCCCAGTATCACACACAAAAAGCTAGGAGCCACATCTGTATGTCACTATGCCGATCTGCTGTGACCTTCTGGAGGTAATGACTTTTTCATCTCTCCTGTAAGTTCCGCTTTTGGATAGCTCTAACCCAGATACATGTGAGGAAGAAGCTTTTAGACAATCTCTGGCTTTAGTCAACAGGCAGAGCACTCTCGGAAATGTCTTAATGCACTAAAAATTACATGTTCAACACCCTCTCCATCCTGCTGGTTCAGCTCTCTGAGTGCTGGGCATTCATTCAGTCCTCTTCCGTTTCTGTGTACTTCAAGAGCACTTTTGAAAGAATTCCAGTGTCTTTATTAGTGAGAAGCTTGCAACTCTTTGCAAACCCGGGTATTTTGTCATGTTGGAAAAATGTGCACATTAAGTTTCGTCCTTGAGCCAGCCTGCTGGTAGTAAATAATTAAAAGGCAATAGATGTAGATGTGACACGAGTGGAATATATTTAGAGTCACATCATCAGTAAAATTGGCATTTCCGTGTGCAGCCAATGACAGACAGAGCAACATGGTATGTGTGCTGTTGAGATGGGCGCCCCAAACAGCCTCATAATTCACCTTTGTGACTCAAGCTCTGAGGATAATGATATTCTGTTTGCCAGGTAAATATGGAGGAGCCTGTGGTAGGTTGAATAACAGACCCTGAAAATAAACCCATACATGTTACCTTATGGTTGCAGATGGAATATGTTTTAACTTTTAAAAAAGCTTTATATTTGCAAAATATGCTACAAATAGAAAAAGAGATTTTGTAGGTATTCTAGTTAAGGATCTTGAAATGGTGAGGTTATCTTGGATGACTGGCTGGGCCCTAAATACCAACCGAAGTATCTTTGTAAGAGAGAATCAGATTAGACACAGGAACAAGATGGATTAGCGATATGCCTAAAGAGGCAGAAATTGAAATGACACGGCTCCCAGTCAGCGAACACCAGCACCCGCCATAATGGGAAGAGACCAGATTCTTCTCAGGAGCCTCCAGAGGGAGCATCGCTCTACTGACGCCTGAATTTTAGTCCCAGGATACCGGGTTTGGACATCTAGCCTCTAAAAGGGAGAGGCTTTGAGTCACCAAGTTTGTGGTACTTTGTCGCAGTGGCCACAGGAAAGGAATGGAATGTTCCTTATTCATCTCCATTTTAGGGTGGAACTCCCTGCTTGCTTCAATAGTGGGGCTGAAGGTGGAGGGGGAGAGCATTCCCTAAGCCATATTGGGAGATAGCCGGGTTTTTGGCATTTTATGGTAAAAGATGGACCTTGGAATTTATTTCTACAAACACGTATCATTGGCAGAGTTTCTATTGGAGAAAATCCTTCAGTTCCGCATTTAGCACATTTAACTCAAGCCCTCTAATTTAAATTCAGTGTTTATTAGACAGATAAGTTGGGCCTCATTAAAGAGTAATTGCAGGACTTTGGTATCCCCTAACATTTTGGGGTGTAGTTCCTTGTTTCTGGAATCTTCCATCCTGAAAGTTCCTTCTACATGTCTCTGTTAGTTCTCTTCCCATCTAGTATGACTTTCTGCAGGCTACTGTCCATCCCTGTGCTTCTAAGCACTACCTTTGGGAGGCATATTGCAGAGAATGAGGTGATGTGCCATGCAGTTGGAGGCCCTTAGCCCCATAACTCTTGGGACAGAGATTGTATAAATCAGCTAGGACTGCCATTATAAAGTACCAAAGACTCGCTGGCTTAAATAGTAGCAATTTATTTTCTCACAGCTCTAGAGGCTAGAAGTTTGAGATGAAGGTATTGGCAGCATCTCTTCTCAGCCTCTCTCCTTAGCTTGTAGATGAATATATCTCTCCCCCCATTTTCATATGCTGTTCCCTCTGTACCTGTCTGTGTCCTCATCACCTTTTCATATAGGCATATCAGCCATTTGAATCAAGCCCTTCTACAAGACCTTATTTTAACTCAGTTGTCTCTTTAATGACTTTGTCTCTTAGCATAGCTATATTCTGATATCTCAGGAGTTAGGACTTTAATATACACACGTAGGCAAAGCAAAATTCAGCTCACAATAAACCTCAACTTTTGCACCAAGATGATTCTGATAAGAGACTTAGTGCACCATTGGATAGTGTGTCTATCGGAAAGTTATAAATATATGTATATACATTTATATTGCACATTAGTGTAAGTTTACTGATTTCGTTTAGGTACATATATCTGGGAGGCTTATTTCCTGTTTCCCAGAAAATGTGGGACATCTAACGTATAAGACAAATCTTAATTTTCACTAATTCATTCATTGAATAATATATATTGAGGTTATTGTGTTAGCCTCTGGGGTCGCAGTGTTGACAAAAACTGGGAAGGTACAGTTCCATTTGAATTTCATGGTGGGACAAGCACAATGTACCATTGTAGGCTTCAGGAAGGGCCCTGTGATGGAAGACAGATTCTCTGGTATTCCCTTCCTTTGAGAAGGCGTGTATCCATTTTCCTCAAGTCTGGGGTTGGTTCTGACCTTACATTTAACAATACAATATGACAGAAGTGTTTAAAGCAGCAGCATCCTCCTCCTTGGCAAATTGCTCTAGGGGAAGCCAACTGCTATGCAAAGGGTCTGACTATTTGAGACCACCATGCTACATGGAAGCCCACTCTAGCTGGACGGAGAGGCTGTGAGGAGAAAGAGTACCAACAGCTGTGAAGGAAGGAAGCCATCTTGGAAACTTCAACATCAATTTATCCAATGTAGAGAAGAGTCTAGAAATTCAACCAGAACCTAAAACCAAGGCCCCAGACATTTGGCACAAATCATGTCGTTCTGGCCACCTTCAGGTCATCCTGTTAGCATTCCAGCTCTGGTGGGTTGTGTTAACTTGCAAAATTGTGAGTGCCACGAAATGGTGGTGTTATATAGTGCTAAATTTGGAATGGTTTGTTACCTAGCAACAGGTAACTGCAAGAAATTCTAATTCCAATATGGAAGACAATTAAGAAATTGTATGTATCACTTATCCAACAGTAAAGCACAGGATGCATGTAGACAGAGAATTCTTGAATGGTACCTGTCTGCAAATCCGCTGTGTTCTTTCATGTGTGAAGACTAAAGTTGAATACCTCTTCAGGCCCCAGATCTTACAGTCCCTGCTCTTTTGATGAACTCTGTGAAAAGTGCTGATTTTGATCCTTGTATTAAACCGCTACCTATGAGGGCCATGCTGGTCTCCTGAGGGCTGGCACTGCAGTTTTCTACAGTGGCCTCCCTCCAGTTGCTGTCTGGGTCATTACCACAGGCTGCTTACTCAGCCTGTTCTTGACCCATGGTCCCGTGCCATAGACAGGAACCTAATTCTGCTACCTAATCTGCTTTGCTAGTGCTCCTGCTGCTCTTTTCTTTTTCTTGCTAATTATTTTTCTCTGTCCAGCGATGCATTGCATCACTGCATTCAAAGATCTCTCAAAACATTATGCCCCCAATGCTTCTTCATAGTATGTTGCAGAAAAGCAGCAATGTAGAGATTCGGGATGTGGGTCCTGGAGTTAGGCTCACTGAATCTGAGGCCCTTTTGCCTCTTC